ACAGGGTGAGATCCTTCTCCAAAAAATAATAATAAACAAAGTCATCAAAGACCTACATTATTTTCACCTCTCTGCTATCCTCATTGTGTTGTCTTTGCCCTCAGGCTGGTTCCTCATGGCCCCATATACTGCAGGAGTTCCAAGTATCACATCTAGATGTCACAATGTCCAGAGAATAAGGTGAACCATCTCAGTATACTTCCTTCATAAGAACATAAAATACTCTCCCTCCCTGAAAACCACTAACTGACTTTTCTCATGCCTCATTGAGTAGTTTTGGGTCATATCTCTTTTCCTAAACCAATCACTAACAAGGGATTTCCATAATTAATTTCAACATTTATGTGAGGATATCAACCACAGACATTACAACCTAGGCTATCAGGATCTGTCTCAAGAAAGTGTCATTCTATCAAATTTATATAGACTTTCTTTAAGATTTTGAACCAATAATTTTTTCAGTCAGCAGGCTTATTAGCATAAAGAAAAATATTAATGGAGTCAATTCAGCAAACATTCATTATATATGAGCAAGGTGAAAAATGCTGTGCTAGGCACTATAAGAAATAAAAATCAAAACAGGACAGTCTTTCTTCAGGATTCGTTATCTGTAGTAGAGGATCAGGCACAATGATACTGTCATAGAAGGTAGACTTTAATCGTCATATTGAAAACAGTGAGGTAAAAGAGATGAGAAAGCACATAAAGAAGAGAGTAACGGTGTAAGGAAGGAGTAATGAGTTAATTTTAATATCATGACAGCCAAGGGAAAAAACACAGCATTACAGGTGAGGCGATTCTCATTGTCTGATAAAAGGAAGCACACTATTTCAAAGGAGTCTTTTTTTCTAGCACTACACTAGTGATACAGTAATATATCCCATGTGTCTTTATATAAAGGTGTTGTTGATCAATGAATTTTTTTATCCAACATTTCTTTATAAAGCCAATGACACAACTTTAAATTTTATTTCAGGAAAACCATTTTTATAGGAAAATCTAATATAGTTCAAGTAGATAGCTTGTGATCTAACTTGTTACAAAGAAAGAACTTAGACTAACGTATAATAATGTTCCCATATATGGTTTCCCTCCAACAGCTCTCATTTCAACCATACATTTGGCAGAAACTAATTAACTGGGGACTCCAGAACTGCCTGCTGGAGGGTCAATGTTGACGTCAAATCTTTGAATTTGTTTGAAAGCCTCCGTAACCACTAAGTTGAGCCCCATAGAGCAAAATGTAGATGACTGGGATTAGCAATTCTCATCAATGCGCTTCCAAGACCATAAAAGAATCTGAGAGTAGTTTGGGTAGAAAGAGGGTTGCCAATTCAAAAGCCCTCGGGTGCCACTAAATGTATAACGGGGCCAAGTGTGAATGATGGCAAACTGAAGATGCTTATCCAGAGGCACTGAAAACATACAAACATTCAAAAGTATAAAACCACTGGTTGGGCCAGGCATGGTGGCTCACGCCGGTAATTCCAGGACTTGGAGAGGACGAGGTGGCTGGATCACCTGAGGTCAGGAGTTCGAGACCAGCCTGGTCAACATGGTGAAACCCATCTCTACTAAAAATACAAAACTTAGCCGGGCATGGTGGCAGGTGCCTGTAATCCCAGCTACTTGGGAGGCTGAGGCAGGAGAGTCACTGAACCTGGGAGGTAAAGGTTGCAGTGAGCTGAGATCGTGCCGTTGCACTCCAGCCGGGGCGACAAGAGTGAAACTTCATCTCAAAAACAAAAACAAAAACAAAAACAAAAACACTGTTGCAGCCAGTCTCCTGGTAGAACTTGGTCTGCAGGCAGCCAGTTGGTACCCCTGCTGACAATAACTGACTTGGAGCAGTAGTACTTCCTGTTGAGTCAACCAGAATGAGTTCTCTACAAAATGCACAGCCAAGTTCCTGAATAAAAGCACTCATTATTTGAATATTAGAATCCATCAGCCAAGCCATTAAAACTACTGTTTTAGTTCTTTTAACAGTAGTAGGCAATCAGGGTGTAAGGCTCCTCCTAATCCATGATAGTGCCCCACATCATCAGTGTAGAGAAGTTTGTTTTCCTATTTGCTATAACAAAAGGATATGGACTACCTGAATATAAATAATAAGAATCAGACTATTGGTTTATGTTGATAAGAAGAGTGAGTAAAACATAGCTCTCTTTTATCTATTTTATCTGAAATGGATCAGAGTACCCCATTGTATCCATCTTGATTCTGGTAGGGGTATTATGAATAATTCATATGCACTAGAAAGGCCCAGCCATCTTGGCCTTCTTGATTTCATAATTTAGCCATGCTTTGGCCAAATTGCTGAAAGATAGTGATATTTAGGAACGTAATACATTTAAGGGAGATGTAATCTTACTTGACCTTACTTGAGGGTCAAAGCAAATGTTTCCAGAAAAATGACCCATGGGGAAATGATCTTTGAGTAATGATTTTTTTTTTTTTTTTTTTTGAGACAGAGTCTCACTCTGTTGTCCAGACTGGAGTGCAGTGGCGCGATCTCGGCTCACTGCAAGCTCCGCCTCCCGGGTTCACGCCATTCTCCTGCCTCAGCCTCCGGAGTAGCTGGGACTACAGGCGCCCGCCACCACACCCGGCTAATTTTTTGTATTTTTAGTAGAGACGGGGTTTCACCATGTTAGCCAGGATGGTCTGGATCTCCTGACCTCGTGATCCGCCTGTCTCGGCCTCCCAAAGTGCTCGGATTACAGGCATGAGCCACCGCGCCTGGCCTGAGTAAAGATTTTCTATGCCTCAGTGTTTTGCAGAGTTGAGGATTCTAGTCATTCCATTCTTTCAACACTATCAACAAATGGGTTTTTGAATATGTGACTTATTTTTAAAACTGTACAGATTTTCCTTAAATTGTATTCAAATAAGTCCTAGCCAAGTTAATATACATTAATACTTTTATACTGCCCTTAAGAAAAAGAATAGATTCATAGAAAAACACCTAGTAACATAGAGCTTTCCTTCATCTTCACCTTTGATTTTACTCAATTTTTTTTCAAGAGTGTTGACCAGCACTGTTGCTACTAGCCACATGTTATTATTGAAATTTAAACCAAAATTAAAAATAAATCGAAAGCCCAGTTTATTGCCACATTTTCAAGGGTTCAATGACCACATGGGTGTAGTAGATACTATGTTGGTGTGCACTTATACGGAATATTTTCTTCATCACTGAAAATTCTACTGGAGAGCCATGATCGAGATAAGAGAAAAAGCAACTGAATATTTGCCCATAAAGAAAATGACAACTTGCTGGGGGAAAACAATTTGCTTATAAATATACCTGCTGATTGAGAAGTCACAATTTGTTGGAGTTCAATTACAAAATGATTTTTGTCTTTCCGTTATGTCCACCAGCAATACTAGATCAAATTTGCTTTTCCAGCTGGGTGACTGCTGCCTTAACAATGTCTTAGGATGATTCTTTAGTCATTTTTAGTTATTAAAACAATATCAACAATCTTTTTTGTTCCAATAATTAAGACTCAATGTGGCTAGGCATGGTGGCTCACACCTGTAAATCCCAGCACTTTGTGAGACCAAGGTGAGAGGATCACTCAAGCTCAGGAGTTCAAGATCAGCCTGGGAAACATGGCAAGATCCTGTCTCTACAAAAAAATAAAAAATTAGCCCAGTGTACCTGTAGTCCCAGAGGCTGAGGTAGGAAGATTGCTTGGGCCCAGGAGGTTGAGGCTCCAGTGGGTCACGATCTGATCTAGCCACTGCATTCCAACCTGGGTGACAGAATGAGACCCTATCTCAAAAAAAAAAAAAAAAAAAGACTCAGTGCCATTAAATATTTAATACTTGAATGTCACACTCAACCCAGAGCTCTTGTCCTCTCTTACCAGTTCCCCTCCCCAACACAAGCTTTAATGTTTGAAGTGAAGGAGAAAGGTATGGTTTGTCTCTGAGACACCTTTTATTCCTTCTTTTTAAAAAAAACTTCATTGTTTTAATTGACACATAATTGAAATAATTTTTACAGAGTATATAGTGAACTTTTGATACTGTATCATGATCAGGGTAATTAGCATATCCATCATTTCAAACATTTATCATTTCTGGGAACATTCAGTATCTTCCTTCTGGTTATATAAAACTATAATATATTATTGTTTACTATAGTCATCCTATAGTGCTATATATAGAATACTAGAACTTATTCCCCATCTACTTTTAATTTGTATTCTTTAACAAATCTTTCCCTCACCCAGGTACCTCTACCCTTCCCAGCCTCTAGTATCCTCTGCTGTAGTTTTTACCTCTAAGAGATCAACTAATTTTTAGCTTCCCCATGTGAGTGAAACATACCGGGGTTTAACTTTCTATCCCCGGCTTATTTCACTTAGCATAATGTCCCCCAGTTCTATCCATGTTGCAGTGAATGACAGGATTTCATTCCTTGTGTGGCTGAATAGTATTCCACGGTATGCCACGTGGTTCTTCCTCTGCTGATGGACATTAAGTTAATTCCATATCTTGGATATTGTGAGTGGTGCTGCAATAAACACGGAGGTGCAGATGTCTCTTTTATATACGAATTTCCTCTCCTCTGGATAAATACCCAGGGACGTTTGCTACCATGGATTCGGGGACAAGATGCAGATGTGTCTGAGGCAACAAAACTCTCCTCATATGATTGTCTCTGTGGGAAGACATGGAGTTGGGAAAGGCCTCTGCTGTTCTTGTAGTTTAAGCTGCCTCCACCTGGTTGCGATGGCCTCCCTGAGGTGTCAGCCTCTACATAAGGGGTGTACATGTGAAGTTTCACACTAGACCTGTGTGTCCAAAATCCTCTCAGTCTCCAAGGGCCCCTCCATTTAACATCATTTCTCCTTAAACCTTGCCATGAACACATCTTCAAAATCAGGAGACATCGGCCAGCATTTCCCTCTTCTTTTCTATTATGAGGGAGGAGAGCTGAAAAGAAAAGCATGTCATACATTCAGCAACAGAAGTCTCCAGATTCTAGCTTTGCACAGTGGCAGTCTCATAATAGGTTTATTTGAGGCACGATTACTGCTAATTAAAAACTTTTCCCAACACCCCATCATAATGACTTGAAGTATAGTTGGCAGAGGCAATTTTTGACAGTCTCTCTGGAGACTGAACTATCTCAGGTTTTTTAAAAAAAAAGCTGACAATTTTTTAAGTCTCCAGATTCTGCAGCTAAGTAAATACTTGAAGGGAAAGGGTGTCGGTCTCCTCTTTTTCAAGACACCCCCAACCTTCTTGAGTATTTTATCAAAGCTGACTCACTTGGCTCCATGAATGGAAAAGCACCACTGTCACCTTCTCCAAGGGCAGAGGAGGAAGGACCTCCAACCACAAATTGTGAATGTTTTCTTCCAAGTTCCTGGGTTGCAGGAGGAAATCAGAGGACGGGGTGCATGGTAGCTAGTGGTAGTAGTAGGGATGAATGCCACTCAGCATGCACTGACAACTAAGTGGCTTAGGAATACTTAGTGCCTTGTGTCCTCAGCTTTGGGTTTTAGCCACAATTCTGAGACAACAGGAAAAATCAAACTCCACTTTCTCCTACATATGCAATAGATATTAGAATCAGCCTTAAATTTATGCCTTAAAATTTCCATCCAACCATAGTAAAGATTTTTAGTCATTTAGAGCTATGTTCCAGAGTAGTTTCCAAGTCAGAATAAGTTAAACCATTTGCCTTTTGATACTTGATATTTTATGGTTTCCAATTTGCTATTTGCAGCTAACCTTAGGGGTGAAGAGCTCTAATTCATCTGAGAAGAGAAACAGTGTAACCAACCAGTTTCTTACCGTGACAAAGTACTTGGGCTGCTTTGTCCAGGTGGTTGGGATGGAGCCAGCCAATGGCTAAGAATGAGGGTCACTGATTCACATGACAGAGGGCCTGATACAGGTCAAGTTCTACCTGCACATCTGAGGATTGCCCCTGAATAATATTTATATCTGAACGAATCGATTCTAATATAGCAGTAAAAAATGTGGGCTTCAGAGTCAAACACCTGAGCTGACAGTCCATCCCAACCACATATTAACTCTGTGAAGTTGAGCACATTGCAGAACTTCCTGTGCCCCTGTGTAATCATCCCTACAATGGTGGCTCCTGGGTGGCTATGAGGGTAATATGTGATTATGCACCTGCAGGACTTACATGTGCTTAAACATTCACCATCATTAACTTTCATATTACAATCTGATAGAATTAGAAACCATAAAGGTGTTACGAGGAGGAAGAGAGACATTTACAGAAATATTTGCCAAACTCACTTGTAATCTGTAATCTGACCATTTACGGCACACACTGTCCATACTCTGGATGTCACTGGACTCCATTGCTAGATGGTGCTCCCCAGTGTGATTTTTCAGGCATTGCATTATCTTTGGTGTAATATTATTAAATATTAAAGTCACATTACCATGTGATATTCAGAGTACAAAATTTAACATAAAACAAATTTAATACAAAGAAAGGCCACTCATGTCTAAATGATTTCTCTCTAACCCACTATTTGTAATAGCAGTAGAATAAAAGGAAATATTTTCACTGAAATAAAAATTAGAAGGCAAAAATGCCTTTTTCAAAATGTAAGTAAAAATAAATTTATCTTAATGTTGGAATTCTTTATCAAAATGGCAAAAGTTGTTTAATTGAATTAAGGTATTTCATATGAGAAGGCAATTCTGAGAGAGTAATGTAGACACTGCTCGCTCAAAATTCATATTGAAGCCTTAAAGCCCAATATAATTGTATTTGGAGATGGGATCTTTGGAAGATAATTAGGTTTACATGAGGTCACAAGAGTGCCACTCTCCTGATGGCATTGGTGCCCTCATAAAAGCCCCAGAGAGTTTGCTCTCCGTGCCACCCTACTTTACCTTACACCTGCCATATAAGAACACAGCAAGAAGGTGGCATCTACAGGCAGGAAGAGAGCCCTCTCTTGGTAAACCACTGTTTCATATATTTTGATCAGTTTTTGTTGTGCAGGCAGAAAGTCCAGTCCCTGTTACTGCAGAAGGGCTTCCATCTTGATTTCCGAGAGGAAAATTGAAATGAGCACGTGCACTGATAAAGCCTTATTTGTTCTCTCTCATTTGAGGGACATGGAACTCTTGACTGCCTTTAGCAAATTCTGCGATGCTTTCCAATATCACTAACAGCCCGTTTCAGGTCTGCTCCAGTTGAACGGTGACCTGCACCCAGGAATGGCCCTTCATTCTGCCTCCTGCTCTTCCTCACTCCAACTAGAAGGTGGTAGACAAGAACATTTCTAGGCAGGATCTCCAAGGCCCAGGCAGAGGAGCACAGCGAAAAAAAAAAAAAAAAAAAAAAAAAAAAGCAGACAGCAACGCAACCCGGTACATATAATTTAAGGACCCTTTGCCTTTGACAATTGATTTGATTGTCATATTCCCATTGGGCATTTTTTTAAAAATTGAATGCTATTCACTCCTTTTATATGCTATATTTAAACTTGTTGGGAGAAAACCACATGTGCTTCCATTTCTCCTGCCATCTTCCTTTCCAATCCATCCAAGTCCTTCCCCCATCATTTGTGGGTTAGAGAGAAATCATTTAGACATGAGCCCAGGAAGAATGCAAACTGTGATACCCAGGCCCATACAGCTGTCACAGCTCAAAACACAGTACCTTTAAACTTGGCACCTTGGCATGGTGAGTACTTTGAACCTAAGGAAACTGGAAGGCCTCTGAAGCAAGCTCTTTCTGACCTTCTCCCATCTTCCTGTTTCCTGCCCCTTCTTCTCCCTCTAAGCAAGCATAGAAAACAATTCCTCTTCCCCAAAGCAGGCCATAGATGTAGAACCTCTCTTCCCCAAAGAAAACCATAAAACCTAGAAAGATCACACTCTCCTTCTCCCTTGAAAACCCTCATTTCAGAGGGGTTGTGCCCTAGGAAGAAGGAATGCTACATGGAGAGGCCAAGAAGACTCTGAACAGAGGCTTTGCTGGGTCTCCCAACTCACTCAATTACCACTCAATCATACACTTTTGTCCAACCACATTTCCATATGGCTGTCCATTTTTCATCAAACTTAAGCATAAAAATAGGCAGTTTTCCCTGGGTCTTTGCGTCTTCATATCTGAAGGCTCCTATGTCATGCAAAACTTTGATTAAATACATCCTTATGCTTTTGCCTTGTTAACCTGTCTTTTGTTATAAGGGTGTCAGCTGTGCACCTTGTGATGGGTGAGAAAAGGGATCACACCTTTCCACAGCCCCCACCTACCACCACTCAGATCTACCTGGTACCACAAAGGGCCTCCATATACCTCAGTGGGGAAGCCGGTCTATATCTGTGTGTCCTGATCACATACTCCCCAAAGTGCTGCTGGGCCCTGTAGCCTCGGGGTAAACAACTGGAGCTCAGTTGGACTTTGGGTGATCCATCTGGGGATGATGCCTTGGGACCTAAAAGCAGGCCCATTCATTTGCACAGGGACTTCTATGGTCCTGGAGAACCAGGACAGCATGTAGAAGTGGATGAGGTGGGGAGGAGGACAGAAGCTGCTGGTATATGGGTGTCCTGGCTCAGTGAGGAACTGGGGTTCAGGGTGGCAACTATAAGGCAGGGTACGCAGGGCAGGGTCTCCAGTGACCCAGCTCTAGAGGCAGTACTGTCTCACTATAAAACTCGCACTAAGGAACCATATTGAAATACATTTCTTTAACTATTTAAATACTTCTTGTGAGAAACTATATTATTTGCATCTAGTATTAATTACTTGGAGAAATCAAACTCATACATTTGGCAACAACAGACAACAAATAATTTCTATCAAAAAATGATAAAGACTTCAGCAGAATTTTTTTTCTCCCTCACTGGTCAAGTTGTTTTCTGGCAGACAGTGAGCTAAAATTACAAGAAATTCTCTGGGGAGCAGATTGCAAGAACCAGAAGGAAATAAAGTGTGCTTCTTCAGAAACAAAATGTTGGAACTCCATTCCAAACAGCATTTTCTCATAAGAGATACAGTTTTATTTGTCTTCAGTGTATCATTCTAAGAAGTTTTGACTCCCATGATTGGGCTTAGATATCTAGTGGGTGTTTTCAGATACACGGCATCCCTTAAGGGAGATTTACATGCAACTATAAGGTGCCATAAGGAAGGTAAAAAAAAAATGCTTGTCTGATGAGGGTGTCCTTTGATTCACTTCACCTCAAGCATTTGATCAAAGTTCACTAGATATAGGTCTGTCGTGTGGAAATAGATGGAAACCTTCCAAATAGAAATCTGTCTATACCCTGCCAAGATAATTCCTCACTAGATTAATTTACACACACTTGCAGTTTTTGATGTCTTTGGGAGACCAGTACTTATTTTGGAAAAATGATCAAAAAAGATTATAAATTAATAATACCATTTTAATGCCTCAGGTCAATAACTAATTTAAGAAATTTGCTTAAATGTTTCTTATTATACCCTTAAATAAAATCCACAAACCAAACAGGAAGCAGCTTCATTAACCCATTACAAGGGAAAAAGTGACATATCTGAAATGAACTTGCAAAACTCTAAAAAAGCAACATAATTTTTGCAGTATATTACAGTGACAGTAAAAGACAGAAACTAGATTTGACTTAAAGTCACACAACAGCTGCACAAACTGATATTTTAAATAGAAAACTCTATCTTCACAGGATAAAATAAAAGTCAGGAATTTTCAAAGAGAAAATAAAATCAGACATTATCTTTAAAAACCAGCTGGACATGCATCCTGCTTATGTCTCACATGAGTTCTTGCTGAAATTTAAATGAACCTTGCTCGAACATTGGCAAAGTGAGGATATTAAAGTAAAATATTACATGCTTGACTAGTCCAGGAATTTGGGCTTCTTCTGGATTCAAAAAGATGGACTGAAAAAGCGCTGAGAGGTAGTGAGCAGGTGTATTCACATGGAGATGAGACATTTGCAAGACAGGCATGAACAGGAATGATTATTTCAAACTGCTAAAGAGTCAGGTGTGTGAAGAGGGAATTCTTGTACGCTGTTGGTGGGGATGTAAATTTTATGGAAAATTGTACAGAGGGTCCTTGCATTAGTCTGTTCTCACGCTGCTATAAAGAAATGCCCGAGACTGGGTAATT